GTCACCACACACACATCACCACACACACACACACACACACACACGTGTACCACACACACATCACCACACACGCACATATCACGACACACACACACATCACCACGCACACACATCACCACACACACACACACACATCACCACGCGCACACGTCACCACACACACATCACCACACACGCACATATCACGACACACACACACATCACCACGCACACACCACCACACACACACCACCACACACACACACACACACACACACACACATCACCACGCACACACACACCACCACACACACACACACACACCACCACACACACATCACTACACACACATCACCACACACACATCACCACGCACACATCACCACGCACACACACATCACCACACATCACTACACACACACATCACCACACACACACATGTGGTGGGAGTTAGTGTTAGTTAGTCAGTCAGTTAGTGTTAGTTAGTTGGTTAGTTAGTTAGTGGAAAATGTCCTTGTGAGAAATCTAAAGCATTTTAAGCTCGTCTGTGCGGATCAGCTGACCGAGCTTCTGGAGTAAAGCTTCAATACACATCAGAGAGTTTGTGTGCTTCAATCAGAGGGAGCGTCACCTTCGACGTGTCCATCCTGACCATTGAGGACATCGGGCAGAACAAGAGGGCCTTGAAGAGGCTGCGCACGGCGTGCGAGAGGGCCAAGAGGACATTGTCCTCCAGCTCGCAGGCCAGCATCGAGATGGACTCTCTGTTCGAGGGTGTGGACCTCTTCTACACCTCCGTCACCAGGGCCCAATGGCCCGATGGAGGAGGAGCTGTGCTCTGACCTCTTCCGGGGAACTCTGGAGCCTGTGGAGAAAACCCTGAACGACGCCAAGATGGACAAAGCGCAGATCCACAATGTGGTCCTGGTCAGGGGGTCCACCCGCATCCCCAAGATCCAAAAGCTGCTGCAGGACTTCTTCAACGGCGAGGAGCTGAACAAGAGCATCAACCCCGACGAGGTGGCGGCCTGCCGCTGGTGGACGTGGTGCCTGTTCATGGGGCTGGAGATGGCCGGAGGAGTCATGACGTCGCTGATCAAATGCAACACAACGATCCCCATGAAGCAGACCCAGGTCTTCTCCACCCACGCCGACTACCAGCCGGGGGTCCTCATGCAGGTCTACGAAGGGGAGCGCGCCATGACCGAGGACAACCTCCTGGGCAAGTTTGATTTGACAGGAATCCCGCCGGCCCCGCGGGGCGTCCCGCTGATCGAGGTCACCTTCGACGTGGACCCCAATAGCATCTTAAAGGTGTCGGCGGTGGACAAGAGCACCGACAAGGAGAACAAGATCACCATCACCAACGACAAGCAATAGATCGTGAGGATGCTGCGGGACGCCGACAAATACAAGGCCGAGGACGACCTCCAGAGGGACAGGCTTCTTTTTATAGTCCTTATTATCCCCATTTCGTCTCTGCCGAAACATTGATGAGATATTGTAATGTGCCTCTGTTCAGGATGAATGTGTCCATTCTGTGACAACACTACAGAACATTGTTTAATTTTGCTTGCTTGTATATTTTTTATCTTATTTTATTCCTATATTGCACCAATTCACCAACTCAAATTCCTCTATGCGTAACATGTGTGGCAATGACTGGGATTGTTGAAGAATTAAAAATACATAAAATGACTTATTTTATATATGTTTATTGTACGGTCACTTTTTCTTTTACTTTATGTTTAATGGCTTCATTAATTTAAGGGAATTGCAATATTGTCCAAATAAGAAGCTTTATTATTTAGACTTTAAAAGTAAATTAATGATGTGTATATAGTGTGTGTGGGTTTATATGTGTATTAATTCTCAACATTATCAAATCCAACCGACGTTTTTTTTGAAAAAGGAAAATTTAGAATCGAGTCGTCGCGCCTTTGCACCAGATTATTAGTTATGTAGGTCGATGTATTTTTACTCTTTATTTGTGAAGCGGAAATGGAGCAAACCACCTTCCGGTCACCGCTCGAGTCCCGTGCCATCTTGTATTTAGCAAAGAACAAAAACGGCGTGAGAAACGAGCCCGACATCGGGGAGGGGCGCGGGTTTTGAGTCGTATTTTGAGTGGTTTTGTTTAATAAGAGGTCCGGTGTTACAGGACAGTTATGCTCGGAATCGCGGCACCGCGGAGAAACATCAGCCACACCCTGGAGAACAGCTAACGTTAGCTCCGGAGCTATCGAAGCTAAGCTAGCCAATTAGCTAAAGCTAGTACCGAACCAGCTAAACCAGCGCCTAAACCGTCGATCAATTTCACAATTGGCACTTGAGCTGAAAATGGAGCGGACGTCGTGTTGATCATCGGCTGACGGAGGAGACGCGGGCTATGAGGACAGAGGCTCGGTAGCTTGGCTGCTAACCGTTTGTGTTTCGTTCCCGCAGCGGAACCACAATAAGCCGCGGTGAGTAATGCTACATTTGGATAGCTTGCCGCTACGCCAGCTAACCTGCTTAGCTGTTCCAGGGGGTCCGAACTCGGGTCCGGGAGACGCGCAGGGGTCTCTGATTGTTTTGTCCTTCACTGAAATGAGACCTAGTTTAGAAAGACGTTGATGCGGATCGATTTGATTGATTATGTCATATTGGTGGTTATCTAACCGTAGCCCCGGTTAGTTTGTAAGGTAGCGACAGTAATGCTATAAATACCACATTATAATAATATCAACTAAAGTTACCGTTAAATGTTCCTTATGTAATGGTACAAGTACCACACTATAAGCAGAGTACTGTTATTAGTGCTGTTATACTATGACACAGTAACAAACTAGCATAGTATTAATATAGTTCGGTACTTTTACTACAGGAACATTTAACTGTAACACCGTATTAATATGATATGTTACGTGTAGTTTAATCTAATTTTAAAATGTACTTTCTGCTATAGTACTAATACCACATTAAAACATGTTGTAAAATGTTTCTATGTTATATAGTATAGAGTATATTTAGTCCATCTATGTATTCATATAAAAGCAGTATTTTGCTGACATTTTTACCGTTTATGATGAAAATAGTTTTTCATGTTTTGTGTGCAAAAACATCTTTAATAGTAAATGGTTAATGATTAGTAACTATTAACTAAGTTATGCCTGAGGTGTAGTTGAAGAAAACATAAATCAGATTTTGTGTAAAGCTGCGTAACTTTCCTCTGTTGACCATAAGAATAAGGTTTACGTTCTCTTTGTCTTCACCAACATGAAGCATTAACACGTTAATAAACCACACTGATCCGAGCGTAGTACCACATCAGGTGTCTTCAGCGCCGTGCAGCGTCCATCCATCCGTCTGCGAACCGCTTATCCTGCACACGGGGTCCTGGGGGGCTGGAGTCCATCCCAGCCAACTTCAGGTGATAGACGGGGTTCAACAATACAACACGGGGAGAACATGCAGACTCCACACAGAAAGGCCTCTGGGCCGAGTCGAACCCAGGACCTTCTTGCTGTGAGGCGACAGTGCTAACCACCACGCCCCCGTGCCGCCCCGCCCTGCAGTGTCCCTGATAAAACGCATTCATTGTCATCGGGACATTTTGATATGAGCGTTAAACGTCTATTATTCTTGATTGTGAACTTGCATCACTTTAGTCTGGAGGAGTTTGTTACAGTTAGTGAGACGCTAACACTCCGAAGCATCAACCGGTCTCCTCAGTCCCTCGCCAAAGGTCTCATGCTGGATTCGGGTCCAACCCAAATATGTGAGTTGGAGGTTTTTCCCTCATAGGATTCTTCGGGAACTTACTTCCTCCTGTGGAGAGCTGCTTCTTTTCCGTGGAAAATGACAAGAAATAGAAACGAGAAACCGGCGAATGGTGACAAACCACGATGCATCTTAAAGTCCAAACGAAGAATTCGTGTTTTCACCTGAACAGCATTTAGACTCTTCTGTGGATACAAAATCATACTGACTAGACGTGACAAGAACGTAAACACGGTTATGACATTAATCAGAAAAAACACAGGTTTCATTTCATAATCATCGCCCGATTATCAATGAGATGCAGAGATGCGCGCGGAGCAGAAACAGCTTCAGCTCGGCGCCGAGCCGACGTAGAGGAAAGCGCAGCCAGCAGCGCTTGTGAGTCACATGACGCAGGCAGAGGCGTCTGGTCGACTAGTCGTCCAAGGTGTGCGAGCGGGGGGGCGGGCGCTGCGGCCGACGGGGAGGTTGAATAGGAACCGGAGTCGCGGTTTTTAAAAAAATATATTTTTTTAGGGTGAGGAATTGGATGTGTGGCGGGAGTGCGTTACTAAAGACTGAAAGGAGTCACTGTCACACTCAATGCGTGATAGCGAGAGCCCTGAAAGTCTGTCAATGGCAAAAGATGCAAAGTCGACGTAACGTGGCACAGGAGCACCACCTGAGGAACATAACAAGCCTCCAGCAGCTCTGCTACGGCTGTTTACTGGTCATCCAGCTGATCAAGCTAGCGTTAGCTCGCTAATAACAGCAGTAAAGCAGTTAGCAAGACTAAGAGACGTTTCTATTTACTCGCCGCTTTTGGTTGGTCTGTTGTCTTGTATGTATTTCGTGCTTTGTCCCATATCGGTTATTGTTGACAAATATATTTGTGTGTGTTGTAGTTTTTATTGCGTCATATACGGTAGTCCAGTGCGCATATACTGTGGGTTATACGGTAGTTGATGTTATGTTCAAGGAACAACCTGTACTTTCTGAAGTATTTTTGCAATGTGAATTTGCAGTTCTGTTTTAGAATAAAGGGTTGGAATTTAAAGCTTTTTAATGCTGTTTTTGTTATCCGATTCATCGATTGATCAAAGAAATAATCAACCGATTAATCGATTATCAAAATAATCGTTTGTTGCAAAATATTTAAAATGAAGAATCAAATGTTTAGGCTTCATTTTGGTGAATCTTTCTGCATTTGTCGCACTCGATGCGTTCAAGGGCCATTGGAGAAATGAAAATGTGACCATGTTCCCAATGACCAAACTCCGAAGCACAGTTGGAGTTTGGGCTCCTTGTTGTTGGTCGTCTCTACGTGTTGTTTCCCTCCTCGCAGCCAACGGTAGCTGCAGGCCTCCTCGCCTCCCGTTGGACGCACAACTAAACGTCTGCGAAGGAGCGCTGGGTCCCCTGGTCCAGGGAATGAGAAAGGAGGAGCCTGAAGGTTCTGCTCCATTAACTCCGTCACAGGGTGGTGGAGTTGCGTGTGTCCGGTTCGATGGTCTGACTCCTCTGTGTGTGTGTGTTCATGTCGCTTGATGCTCTCTCACCCTCTTATCCGGGGTCGGGTCGCGGGGGCAACAGCTCCAGCAGTACAGATGAGTATCGTTTGGGGGGTTTTTGATACCGATGTCGAAACCGATACTTAAAAGCATATTGTTTATCTACTTTGTGACAGAATTGATTATTTCTATATTTAGTTAACAATTTGCTGCGTAAAATGAAGACGGGGAAAAAAAAATCAAACAATCTGCCATCATTTGCGTGAGGAAACACCGAAGGAACAACGGTACGGCACCGGTTCTCGGTACCCATCACTATTCAGCAGGGGACCCCAGACGTCGGTTCCCAGGCCTCCTCTATCAACTCGATCCGGGGGCCCAAAGTGCTCCCAGTCTGCAGATTGAATCTCTCACACAGTCCCTGCGCCCAGAGGGTGAAGGTAGGACATAGATTGACCTGAGGATGCCATTACCCCTCATGTCCTGTCCATCCAAAGCACAAAGGGGATTGACCCGGTGAAGACAGTTCTGGCTTTTGCCATATGGGGGGAACGCCCCCCCCCCCCCCCCCACCCCGTACTCTCACCGAACCCCCCACAGTATCTTTGGTACTTGAACTAAATCATTTAGACTGACGTCACTAATTTGACATAAAATGAGGTCTGAGACCTCTTCAACAAAACATGTGACATATTTGAGGGAACGACGTCTGAAGTACATTCGGTCCAGCCAAAACGCAACCGTGAATAGCTGAAGCCCGTCGGTGGGGGGGCTTTGTGGGAACTGGCTGCCATTTTGTCTGTGAGAGGACGCCTACGTCTCTGCTCCTCTCAGGTGGGAGATGAAGACTTTCCTCGGCGGGGACGTCGCGTAGCAGAAGACAAGTCCATACAGGGATGAGACGTCTTGGTGTTTCTCCTTTCGCTCTGAACAGCAGAATAAATTAAACCAGATAGGACCGGACGTTGGAGGGGAAACTTTACAGTGTGATGTCAGCGTCGTACTGTGATGGGGGTCGGTACTGATGACATCACTTGTTTCACTTATGGAATCTTTCAGTCCCCATGTAAAGTATTTCCCATCTGAACACTTGAGCAGAGGATAATGTGTTTGTCACAAATGTTAGGTGTCAGATTGCCCACTGACCTTTAACCTGAGTGCCCCCCCCCTCTCCCCACAGGCCCTGGCCATGCCCTCGAGTGCACGGGCGGGCAACCTAAAAGACCCCGAAGTGGCAGACCTCTTCTGCAAAGACGATCCGGAGAAGCTGTTCGCTGACCTCCGTGAGATCGGACATGGCAGCTTCGGAGCCGTTTACTTTGTGAGTGTGTGTGTGTGAGTGTGTGTGTGTGTGTGTGTGTGTGTGTGTGTGTGTGTGCGCACTCATGGCCGCCCTCCGAGGACACTTCTGTTTTCTCTGAAATGTCTCTTAGAAATAGAACATCTGACTTCTGTTGTCCATTGAGAAGGAGAGCCATGTCTCGTCTGTCTTTTGTCTCCTCCAAGTGGTCTTTAGATTCCCATGCGCTCCTTAGTCGCACGTGTAGCTGTGTGGATGCTGCCGATGTGCCCTTGAGCAAGGCCAGTGGCTAAATGCTGGTCAACCCGAGGGTCTCATGTTCTGATCAGCTGAGCTTCTGTCGCCTCGCAGGCCCGAGATGTTCGCAACAATGAGGTGGTGGCCATCAAGAAGATGTCGTACAGCGGCAAGCAGACCAACGAGGTAACAAAGTCCCTCTTTAACTCCTCTGGGAGTTTAGTCAGACACCAGTTCTTGTTAACCGCATGCTGTCATTTACCTCCTCTGAATTGTGGGTAGATATGAAGGCGTGACATCATCCACACCGTTCCTCTCCTCTGAGGGAGTCTCTCCCTATTCATATATATTATTGATGTGTGTGTCTCCTGTGCAGAAATGGCAGGACATCATCAAAGAGGTGAAGTTCCTGCAGAAGCTGCGCCACCCGAACACCATCGAGTACCGAGGATGTTACCTGAAGGAGCACACGGCATGGGTACGCCTACCTCCATCTTTGTTCCTGGGTCAGGAAGCTCAGCCTCTGATTGGTCCTCACAGCTGCTCACTGATTGGTTACTAATTTCATATCTCAGAGAGAGATAAAGTACTTTTTACTCGAACCGTGAACATAAACGAGATTAATGCAACAAAATATTTAACGTAGTTAACGAAAGGATGGAGCGTTTTGCATTGGCAGTAAAACAAACAGGCGCGACGTACAGCAGAGATCTGTGCAGAGGAACTACTCCACGAGTCAGAAGGGGGGCGAGCGTCAAACGGACCACTTAGAGCACTGCTATGCTAAGCTAGCTGCTAGGCTACTTCCAACTCAAAATCATAACGTTCCGTGTGCCCAAAAAGGCCGTGGTTTGAAAACGTAGAATATAGAATATTTTAACGCAACTTTGTTTCCTTCTAGTGTGCTTTGACCTCTGACCCCTAAAGCCGCCGTTGGGTGCAGAGAGCTTTTTGTCTGGGGGAAACACAATGACGCATGAATACATAGTTCACGTAGTTCACGTCTGTGTTTGCTGCAGACATGACGGAGTCTCAGCTCATGATGTGGTGTCTTTGTTCCAGCTGGTGATGGAGTACTGCCTCGGCTCGGCCTCGGACCTCCTGGAAGGTCGGTGTGACCCTTCTTCAGCTATTGACTCACTTTATTTATCTCACGTTTGTGTCGTTGTGACTCTTTGGTCCTCTCGTCATCACAGTTCACAAAAAGCCGCTCCAGGAAATAGAAATAGCTGCCATTACCCATGGTGCATTGCAGGGATTAGCCTATCTTCACTCTCACAACATGATTCACAGGTAAGAACGTCTGCCTATTGATCCACTCTTTGATTAGAAGGTGTCTATGTTCTGCTTTGACATCTATTGATTACTCTTCCCCGATTATTATGAACTTTTAAATGTCATAGACCTTTAAACCCTTTGCAAATACATAAATTATATAAGAATGATAAGATATAAATACACAAATTCATCAGACATAATCGATGAACTGAAATATTGATTAATGTTGACTGACCGTGGTAAAAGAAGATAGGAGTAAGAATGTATTAATCAGTTAACTCAGAGTCTGAATAAGATGGAACAATAAGTTTGGTAGTTATAGCTTATTTTGAAGGCTAAATGCTAAGCTAACGTGTGATTGTGTCTGCAGGGACGTGAAGGCCGGGAACATCCTGCTGACGGAGCCCGGTCAGGTCAAACTGGGAGACTTTGGTTCTGCTTCCATCGTGGCTCCAGCCAACTCCTTCGTGGGGACTCCGTACTGGTGAGACTGGTCTTCTACTCAGGCAACCAGTGTTTGAAGTACATCTTTATCATTGCTATTGTTCCTTCATCACTTGAATCCGTTTTTTGCTGCTAAGTCACAGCTAAATGTCTTTATCTTGTGTTCCTACAGGTGCAATAAAGATTAATAAACACTCACGATGCTGTTTAGCGCCTCTAGACATGTGCAGTATCTTTGTTTCACGTTTAATAGATGAAATAAATGGCTGAGTCAATAGCGGTTTCCATGGCGCTTGAGGATCAGAGCGCAGGTGAGGTTCTTACCTGTGCCATGTGTCCCCAGGATGGCTCCTGAGGTCATCCTGGCCATGGACGAGGGCCAGTACGACGGCAAGGTGGACGTCTGGTCACTGGGCATCACCTCCATCGAGCTGGGTAAGAGCCGCAGCACGTCCACCGGACGGACCCGCGGTGAAGGTCTATGTTGACTCTGTGCCACCCCCCCCCCCCCCCCCTGACAGCCACCGAGCTCCGACCCGGGCCCACGTAGAGCTCCTGCCGCTTGGTTCCGGCCATCATGGGAACGGTCTCTCACCACGTAGCCGGATTACTCTGCCATGGGGTCGACCCAGGCCAAGCGCAGGGACTTGGAGGCCACATCGAGGACCTGGACGATGGAAGGCCGGCTCATGACTGCATAGGAAGTCATGAGTCAGTGGCATCGGACACCCGCGTTTCCCGGAGCTAAAAACACACCTCGAAAGAAAAGATTGCTCCGGCGGTTTGGAAGCGGCGTGATCTCTGCCCTCACGTTCTCCCCGCTGACGACAGCAGAGAGGAGGATCGTCCACGCCGTTGCATAACTGAACCAACGAGCTGCTTCTGCACGCTCTGAATCTGGTTCAATTTGGCACGGTGAAAAACATGACTTCCGGGAAGCGCGGAGGCCCTTCAACTTCATCTCTTCTTGTACGTCCTGTGGGACGCCTGAAAGCGGCGGGAAATAAGAAAGAAGGGAGG